AGATATTTGTATAGAATATTCTATATATACTTTTATAAAATAAATATAGACTATAGTTTTCTTTTCCACGTATAAAGTAAATCTTTTGGTAGTTGTATCTTTTTAGTTATAACTTCGATTAGAGTGCTTTTCGCGTCTGTGTATTCGTAGTGAGACATAGATTCATTTTACAAACTTCTCATCTTGATTTCATGTTTGGTGTACTGTTCTAATTTAGATCTATTGTTTGTTTCGTGTATGATTGAATGGATGCTTGTGTGATGCTTTATGATCATGTCCAGCCGGTGAGCTATACGTGGTGAATCAAGAAGTAGATCTTTAAAGATTTGGATTGGAAGAAGGATCTAATTTTAAGGCAAGTATAGCATGGGATCTTCCTTATCCTATACACATTTAATCATTTAATTCATACTACATGCATGTGTCTACCTTGACTACTACTAAGGATTTCCTAATACTTTGTTACCCTGTACCTTGATACCTTTGGGGTATTGCATTGGGTAGTATGATGCTAGTGCTCAACTGAAGCCATGATCTTGTAACTTGACTAATGGTATATGCAATAAACACTAAAAGATGCTTTTAGCAACATGGAATAAAGGGGCTAGAGCATTGGGCTATTTTTATGGTGCTCTAGACTCTTCTCCCTAAGGATTTATTTGTAAGTGATCATACGGGACTTACAGTACAGCTGTGAGGGCTACATGGCTCTAGCTTTAGCTCAGTATGAGGACATTTTATAACTTGTTAGAGGTTACCTTTATGGCGTAAGAATGGCTTGATGAATCGGGTATATGACAACCTCTATTCTTATGTGTATAGCCATAATGGAATTGTGCCATTCGACAGGGGGTTCCTATATCTGTTTGCCGAGTGAATCTAATGGCCCTAACTTGTTAGACGAACCTTTAAAAGGCTTCATAGTGAACCCTGTCGACCTTCCTTGGTAGTGGGTCAAGAGGCTGATCACCTTGGGCGAAAGGGTAAATCACGACTCACAGTGAAAGTGTACAACCTCTGCAGAGTGTAAAACTGTTATAACAACCATGCTCACGGTCACGAGCGGCCTTGGACCCTTATGGAATAGATGATGAACACTAATGATATGGATGATGAAGATGCTCATTAATGATTACTGTTTATGCTATTCATTATTCATGTTTACCTGATCATGTGTTTATATGGGCTTGTGAATAAACTTGTTGCCACCCAATTGCTAAAAGATGACTCATTAAAAGCTAATTGCAGTTAAACCAGTGTCAGCCTTTTGAGCCTCATGAACCCCATGTTATATTTGTTGAGTACGATATGTACTTACGCTTGCTTTACTTTTTAAAATTTTGGAAAAATCCCGGATGGGTACCAGATTGCTAGAGTTTGGAGAAATTAGGCTTGTGATTAACCAGTCAGTTGTCCCTGTGGAAGTGGAGTCTTTACCTGAAGATCGGAGTTGTCTTTCTGCTGTCTATACTCTGAGGTTGTATTCTTTATACTAATACGCTATGTAATAAGCATTGTCTATGGATATTACCTTTATTAGTAGCTATATGTGAGATTTGACTTTCTGGGCTCACATATGATGTGTATCTGGTTTTGTCCTTAAAACCGGGTGCTACAGCTTTGCTGCGCATCCATCGTCTCTCATTGACATTGTCATTTTTTTTTCTCTCTTCGCCATTCAGTTACCGATCCTTCTCCGCACTGAAGATCGATTGACGCAGTCTAGTATAATCCCAGTCTTAGTTAGACCCAGTCTAATCTCTATAAGTTTTGCTAGAAGTTCGTAAATTTTGGTATTCACGTACCAACACATGATGCAGACAATAATACACATGAACCATTGCTTTACCTTTCTTAGATCTGCTCCCATAACTTCACTAGCCAAAGAGGATAGCTCCAAAAACTCCCCTCCTCCAAAAAAAGGTAGAGACCAACTCAATGTTTTTTTGTGGCAGAGCTACTCAACATTACTAAAGAAAGCTTTTTTAGAGGCAGCTAGAACGGGTTTGAAGAGACGACTGCTCCACCCGCTCTACTTGTGTCTCTAGAAATCAATGATTTCTAGAGGCGACTATCCAATTGTCCCTAGAAATCAACTTGTAGAGGCAGGCCGAAACCCAACCGCCTCTAGAGATTGATTTCTAGAGGTGGGCTGAAATCTAGCCGACACTTAAAAAGGATTTACAGAGCTACCAATCTAGTCAAACAAAATAACCACAGGAGAAGCCCACCAGGCAACCCCCACAAGTCAAAAGTTATGTGAATTTTGTGCACATGCAGTTGTCATGGGAATCGAACTCACAACCTTTTCCTTTCTTACTACTCCAGCCCAAAGTCACTTGTGACCAAGAGGCTAATACAAACCGACAAATATTGAGAACCTAAATGAATTCAAATGAAAATTTGTTTATGTTGTTTCTCTATCAGAGGTCATTTGAAAATTAAAAAATGAATTTCAAAATCTGAAAATAAAACATAATTTTGGGTCTTCAATGATTTCAAATAAAAAAATTATCAGTTACAAAGTTTAGATCTTTTTGAGATCTAAAACTTTGATATAAAATCTGTCTTCATCCGACTTGATTTGAAAAAGGTTATAAATGTTACTGTGTTGCACCTTTTTTTCAGGGCGGACCACATCGTCAACTGCCTCTAGTAATGCCTTCATTTTTAGAGGCGGCTAGAAAGTCTAGCCACCTCTAGAATGACATTTTAGAGGTAGTTGGGCTTTTTAGTCATCTCTAAAAATAAGAGGGAATTTCTAGTAGCGTCTAGGATTTCCAGCTATCTCTAAAAAACAACTTCTAGGGTGGTGTGGCACAGAAACCTTTTTTAGATATGGTTCTTGATAGATCAATCTCTAAACTAAAGGAGAGATGCCTCTAAAAATGGTTTGTGTAGTAGTGAGAGGTACTCAAAACTTGACTTTCTAAACTCCTCACGGTGTTGTCAGAAAATTACCCACCACGCCACTAGTAACGCACATAGTAGTTCATTTTCTTTTTTCCCCTCCACACACCATAGCTCTTCATGCACAATTTTTTTTCTCGCAATAGCAAGCGTCATCGCCCTAAATCCTATAACCCTAGCACCAACACTGCAAATCCAATCGTCAAAGGCCCTCCATCGGCGAGGTGGTCACCGGAATGGACTAATCCAATGATCTTTGACTGGCCGACCCTAATCTCCCCTCTCTAAATGCCCCCTCCGTCATGGCTCCTCGATCATGTCGCCTCAATGAGCACCAACTGCACCATTGAGATGTTCTTGTGCAGGGTACGTGGCTCATCATATGATTTGTCATTTGTTATAGGGATGCAAAACTTCACTGATTTAAATAGGTTTCCTTTTCTTGTGTTTTCAGTTTGAAGATTCAAAAAATCTACCAACAAAATGAACTCTTTCCAGGTAATGTCCGTCCCACAATGCAGTTAGCTATTCTGCGAAATCATGTGTTCTTCTATCATCAAATCAATCAATTAGCTACCCATACTATAATGTGGAAATGGCAAGGACAAATAATGCAAAGGATGAACAAGTAGAGATGCGAAGAGGTGGATGATGGATGGAGATGCAAAGGATGAAAACAAAGTCCAAGGCAAAGATATAACATAGGGTTTGTTTTCACCGGCCTAAGGTGATTAGAGAAGTGAATTGGCCGTGTTTAGAATATATAGCCGTACTATAAAAAGGAGGAAATCTATACCTGATACGGTTATATAATGTCACTACGCATGTGAGATCTAACTTTGCATATGCATTAGATTGAGTGGCGTGGTGAGGTGTAAATGAAAATCTTTTAAAATTGTTTAAAAAATGTTAACTTGGTGCTAAATGTGGTATTGGTTGTCCCATGGAAGACCTATCAGAGTTCACCATTTGAGAAAGTTTGAGAAAAGAAGCTTAGTGGATTGTTTTCACAAGATAACTTGTATATGGATTTACAAGATTTTTAAATAAAGGTATGCTTGTTCTAAATTCAAATAAAAATGGAAATATAGAAAAATAGAAAAAATGTAGCCCACGCCAGGAATGGCCCAGGATGCACACGCACGCAGGAACGCGGTTTGCTCGCCCTGGTAGTAGGCCCAATACATGAGTGGAGTAAGTAAAAGCGCGCGGTGGTTGGGTCCCTCCAGTGCGGTGTGTGGTGCTCGCTCCCAATCTGGCAATCTGCCGCCAATCATATCAAGTGTGGCGGTCCAGTTGGTGCATGCAATGCAGCAGGCCTTGCCGATACATGCCGTGTTTAATTTATTTATTTACTCCGATATACACAGCCTGCACTGCACTGCACCTTATTACTGATGTATACGGTAATTTGTCTCGCTAGCTATCTATCTGCAGCTACCTGAAGCTGATTAGCTGAAGCACTATGGAAGTTTAGCCTGTTCAGTGCACAAAATTTTCTCCTCTAGCGGGCCTACCGGCCTGGGTGGAAAGCCCACGTACTCTACAGCTGGTCCAAAACCATGAGGAGGTTACAGTTACAGCCCATAATATCCCTATTGGGCTGGGCCGCCGCAGCCGCCAACTGCTTTCTTGCCTCCTGGACTTCACTTTGGTAAGACCGACCACTCAGCGGTGATCCTCAAAAATTAAAAAAAAATCTCAGCAGTTCAGGTCGTCACTCGTCAGGCACTTTGCGTACGAGAGTGCTACTAGCAAGTACAGCGCAAGCATGGCGCTTGACGTCTCATCTCGAAGCAAGCACAAGCCTCCAAATGAAGCTACCTTCCCCTTTTAATTTTGCGCGTCGCATGCACTCTCACTCGCAATCGCAATCTCAAGCAACCTTGCATGCACTGTAGAGTGTAGACGCACGATCGGGAGTCAACGCAACGCAACGCAAGCGATCGCGAGCTTTTCGATGTGATCTAGTATTCTAGGAGTATCTAGCTCTGCATTGCCTCTCTCGTCTGTTCCTGCTTGCCTGCTAAGTGAGATCGATCGAGCTTCAACCACTAGCTAGCACGTACGCACCCATCGAGGCATCGACGATGGATGACGACGACCTCCACGGCGGCAACGGCAAGAACAAGCCGCCGCCGAGCTCGAGGCGGCGCCGCTGCTACTGCTGCAGCGGCACAACGGCGGCCACGCTGCTCATGTTCCTGCTCACCAACGCCGTCTCCGTCGCCGTCGTCTCGTCCGGCGCCGGGCCCTCCCTCCTCCGCCGCTACAGCGGCGGCGGCTACAGGCCCGCCGCCACCATCGTCCGCCTCTGGGATGGCTCCGCGGCGCTCCACGCGGACCTCAACGCCACGCAGGCCGCGCTCGCCGCCGGTCGCGCCGACCTCGCCGACCTCCACGCCCGCGTCCGCACCGCCAACGAGCTCCTCCAGACGCTCCTCCGCGCCATGCAGGACCACGGTGGCCGGGACCTCCCTGCGACGCCTGACGGCGGATGGAAGCGCGAGCCAGCCGGCGAGCTCAGTCTGGCCGTCGCCCCGCATCACAAGGTGGGCGTGGCCGGGACGGGGGAGGCCGTGTTCCCGGTGCTCGGCCACGCGTGCGTCCGCGTCCAGGACGACGTGGAGCGGTACATGGACTACGCGCCCGGCGGGGAGTGTCCGTCCGACGACCCGCTCGCGCACAGCCTCATGCTCAGCGGCTGCGAGCCGCTGCCGCGCCGCCGGTGCCGGCCGCGGTCGCCCAAGGGGTTCCCGCAGCCGTTGCCGCTTCCCAGGAGCCTCTGGACCACGCCGCCGGACACCACCGTCGTGTGGGACGCTTACGCCTGCAAGAACTACTCGTGCCTCGCGGCCGCCGCCCGCGGCGGCGGCATCAGCGGCTGCGGCGGCGACGGTGGCGGCGGAGCATGCTTCGACCTGCGGCGCGGCCGGGGGAATAAGCAGGCCGACAGATGGGCGCGCGACGACGGCGCGCTGTCCTACTCCATCGACGCCGTGCTCGCGGCGCGGCCCAACGGCACGGTGCGCATCGGTCTGGACCTCGGCGGCGGCTCCCCCACCGGCACGTTCGCGGCGCGGATGCTGGAGCGCGCGCGGGTCACCGTGCTCACCGCGGCCGTCAACTCCGGCGCGCCCTTCGGCAGCTTCGTCGCGTCGCGCGGACTGGTGCCGCTGCACGTCACCGCCGCGCACCGGCTGCCCCTGTTCGACGGCACCATGGACATCGTGCACGCGGGGCGCGAACTTGGCGGTGGCGGCGGCGTGATGCTGGAGTTTGCGCTGTACGACGTCTACAGGGTGCTCAGGCCAGGGGGCTTGTTCTGGCTCGACCACTTCGTCTGCGCCGCCGCGCAGCTCAACGCGACGTTCGTGCCCATGCTGGATCGCGTCGGGTTCAGGAAGCTACGGTGGAACACCGCCCGAAGAAAGGAGAAGGGCCAGTGGTACGTGTCAGCGCTGTTGGAGAAGCCCATGGCATGAGAACATTTGTGTGCGTGTGTTTTTTTTACAGGGAAATAGTGGCTATAATAATCCTATGAGTCATGTCTTGTTCATTCTTGCTTCTGGTGTACTATGACTTTTTGCCTAATTGCAGAAAAATGCAATACATTACCGTACGTGTCAGCTTCCTATTGGTTGACAATTGGCTGAGATCTAAAGAAATTTAGCGGATTGCGAAATTTACTAGCACAAGGAAAAATACTAAATGGATATTTTGCATTGGTAGCATAGAAAAAAATAGCGGGTTATAGGGCGCTATAGCGGCCGGAGAGGCTTGACGCTATGCCAACTTTAACCGCTGTTGTGAGCTATAGCGCCGCTAAGTTGCATAGCTTTATCGTTAAAATAGTGGCACTATTTCATATTTGCCTACTTATCATTTGCTTACTAATTTAATTAGTTATTTTCTACTTATAATTTGCTACTAATTGGGTATTTTGAACAATTAAACACTGAAGTTTCATGAACCATGTTGTAATGTTATATTGGTAATGTTACCTAGACTTGTGGAATCTTAGAAACGTATCTGTGTTCATTGAATTTCATATTTAACATGTTTTTCGCATCAATTACTTGTGTTTTTCATGCTTACTTTATAAAAAACGCTATCTGTCGTAGCGTTGTTATAGTTTCATAACTGCTGAAAAAAGTTGCCGCTATTTTCAATAGCCCGCTATTTTAAACTATGATCGGTAAACAAATAATAATACTATACATTCTTGAGGCAGGTTAGCATTGTATTAAACTACAATAAACTAAAACCACCGTCCGTAGAACAGTTTGGATGGGCACGAAACCGAAGGCACGCACAGGCACAGCAACCAGCCTAGTATCTAGCCAATTCAGTCAACTCTTGCAAATTACAATCAGAAGCGCCTTATTATATCCCAAAGTAATAAACCGCCGATAATAAATTTGAAAGGGGTCAAAATTACGGTGCCTATATTGGAAAATTTTGAGGTGGAATTAATCAGAGATTAAAAAAAAACTAGTTAGATACACGCAAGACAGTGAGGCTAAAATGGCTCAACAGAAATGGCGTAGGAAATTGCTCAATACAACAATCAAATTTACTACACTGCTTATAGTGAGCATGTATGGCAGTCACAATGCTTACCTGAATATGCATGATTTGATCAGGGTTCCATAGAGAAAGATCAGATTTTTTATTAAAAAAAATTCAAAGGATCACTCTAGAGAAAATTCCGGCCCTCAAAAAAAAGTTTGGCTTCCTTCCATTATATTCTGGATCCTTTTAAATTCGAAGTTACCTATTTGACCAGGAATCTAACTTGCCTTCTTTATATGGCCCTTCGGTCAGATTTAGCTACTAATAGTGTTACGTAGGGATGAAATGATAATTTTACTCCAGGGTAAAATAGGTAAGTTCAATTTTCATATATTTTATTTTGAGGTTATTCAGACTATTTTTGTATGGTTTGATGTCCTCACTAGGTAGCATGTCCGTGCGTTGCTACGGGACAGCTAAACTTTTGTACTAAAAACACACGGATCGCATAATAGATAGATACGAGAGTCAAGAGGAGTAGATATTTTTACCCGGTTCCATCGAGTTTTGGCCACGTGATTGTGATCAAACGGTGAAAAATTATTTTACTGTCGTGTTGCGCATGTCCATGCGAGCAAGTCATGGCCTCAGTTCTATCTGAAAAATAGAATAATGTTTATGAAGAATGAAAATGAAGCCAACAATATGAGTATGGCAGCACGAGCGCCGATTAGAAAGCTGGATTTTAAAAACAGCTGCAAGGTGTTCAAACACTACATATATATTATATGAGACATAGAGAGTGTCCAAATAGTACTTATATCTTACACGAGACGGTTCACACCGAGACGCTAGATGTCAAGATAGTACATAATTTTACATGAAACAGACAGAACACCAAGAAGGCATAGTTTGTGAGATGGGGTGCGCGCCCTTGCGTGCAGGCTGGCACCATAGATATTTTAAAACAAACTAAGTATTCTAAATTATTAGATTCTAAGCATTCGAAACAAATTACACAAGATATACATATCTTTTAAAGCAAACTAAGCATTCTAAATGACTATATTGGGCACATCACCATGTCGAGAAGAAAGATACATCTGATTCAAATCAGTACTTAAAATGGCAGCAAGCAGTGGTCAAAATCACTGCCTACATTTTTCAATATGTAATGTAATATAGGCTGTGCGTAGTGGTTACACATACAAACACCGTTCTTCAGATAACACATGCAAAAGCGGCCATCTCATAGTCATTAGCTATAAAAAAATATATGTAGGACAATTTTCAGCTAGCCAAACTAGTGACAGCCGCAGGAGCGAAGCTCGGGCTAGAAGTGCAGGCCTTCAGGAATATGAGGATTGAAATTCCATAGAGATGAGCACTTTCTGCATGTAAACATCCATCTGGTCTCTGCAGTGTCCAAATGGATTGGCATTTGGTACAGGACAGTTCTGACACAGGCGCAAGGTAAAGCTGTCTTTCTTAGCAATCGACAGAAATGGCGAGCAGCGCAGCAGCTGCTACATGTTGCCTTCAATGGATTTTCTAGCTAGAGAGTTATTACTGATCATCCAGAAAGAGAGGAAAATAAATGGCAAAAGAAAAGTATGTCATTGCTTTTTTCCCAAAGATTTCTCACAATAGAAAGCTAATGTAGAAGCACCAAAAGAGCAGATCACAGCAGCAAGGATCAATGCACATCTATGTAACCCTCACCATGGATATTTATGGACTAAAACATATATTTTTTCTATAACCTCTAATGCTCTGTAGGTAGACTAAAACAACTTTTTTCTCTTTGAAAACAACTTTTGGAGGGTCACTGAACCACGGTGCAGAACTAAAAAAGCTCCTGCTTTTGAAACCATAGTCACTTTAGTCTAGAATGAGAGCCATTTTAGTAACATACATAAAACTGAAATAAACACCATAGGAATTCAGTAATAGAACTAAAATAAACATCATTACGATATATAGAGCAGAGCCAGTTGTCTAATTAGGTAATTCACTAATTTGTCATGACCTACTGCAAAGGAACTGCAACAGAATATTGAATAGGTCAAACAGGATGGCTGAAATGCTAAAGTATGACAACACATGGTGTGTGCTAGGGGAGCAGGTCCTCGCACTGCAGGGTACACACATCAATTATAGTGTTATATAATATAGAACAATTTAGTAATTTTATTGGCTGGTAGGAAATATTTCTGAAATAAACTTCATGTATGCTTCTATAAAAGAATTAGACTTTGGATTTCCTTTGTTCACATAGGAAGAATACTAAAGCTAATCCTTGTCCATTGTTGACAAGACAACAATATAAACTAATGCTTTTTATTTGGCAGCAAGCTAGCAACTACAATAAGAACTGCACTGTTTGATATAACTGTAAGCATTAACCTGACAATATATCATCAAAAAGATTTCCAACCTATCCTTACTAATCCTTGGTGCTACCAACCAATGAAATGATATGCATGTAAAATGTTGAAGCCTATTTAGGCAATAAGCAAGAGAAGAAAATTGTAAACAATAGCAGTAACCAACAGTCATACACATAATGTAAATTTATAACTAAGCTTACCCTGATGTACATCTGACTTTACATTATACAAAAACAAAATCTCGAATTTGAAGTATAGGAATCTAATGTTGAATTGCTTCTTGATTGGTACCAGTACATCTGCTACGAAAACATTTGACATTATAACTAAGCTTTGTTTTATTTTTATAACACTGATAAAATCAATTAGTTTTGTTTTGTAGAATAGAATTACCAAATAAAAATAGCCGCGGTGATTTAGCTGATTTAATCAACCCTAATTTAGAACTGAGCAATATGCGCAAAAAGTTGTCAGAACAAAGGAACAAGTAGTTCTGTGAACTTGTTAAGATTAGCAAATGTTATAGGTGGGCCCCGTATAGCATTACTGTATAGAAAGTTACAAAGTAATCACATGAATTGTGTAAGAATTTCATAGGAATCAATCCAATTTTACAGAGAACAAATTCCGAGAAGCTGGCACTGAATTGGCTCAGTTTGTCGATACAAAATTATTTCATCAATGCTATTATTTCATCAATGCTGAATGGACTTGCAACACCACCTCAACCATGGGTGAGATATTTAACCGTGGAGGAACCGATAAATTGGCACTAATTGCTGAATGGCTAAATCTAGGCTCCTAGTTGAGAATTGAGATTCCTTCTATACACTGGCATCAGGACGCCAAGAATATGTTACATATCGGGGTGAGGGGTATACAAATGGGGAGTTACTAATTTTGGTCCTTAAGTGATTCAGTATGAGAATCCAATATATACAGTACCATCATTTGACACTTGTTAGCATGCCAATTTAGTATGATAAGGAGACTTGCTCCGCCATGTAGGAATAGGCGGAATTTGCAATCACAGAACATGAGAATTTTTTTTAAAAAAAATCTTCAGTACCTTCGATAACTGTCATGTTCAATAAGCTAAAGTTGAAATACAAAGCAGATGCAAGCAAATCCATGTACATGCTAGATAAATATGAACTATGACAAACAGGTGCATAGTTGCAGGAATCACGCATATAAGATGACATCTAACACAAATACCAGAGCAGAATTCAGATTATTTTTAATTCGCACGGTAAAAAACAATAGATAGAATGATCAAAGGACACCAAGCGAAGGAGAAAATATTCAGAACAATGTTGCATTAACACTACATGTTCCTAGCAGCTAGAAAAGGTATAACACTGAGTCTGCATGTGCTTTATAATAGTTTGATCCTACATAGGTGTGTAAATGAATATACATTGTAAAATAGATGTAGAGTAAATTTAGGACAAGGGCATACCTTTGTTGACTTGAATTGCATTTGGCTCAGAATATCAGTTTTGAGCTGAAGAATCAAATGAGAATAGTAGTATTCAGGTGGCACCTTGGGCTTTGGTCTTCAGGATGTCAGCCATATG